CGAAACTCCATCGGGCCACGGTTACCGAGTTAACGTCGTTTTTCGGGTCACTTTTATGAAAATTTCTAGCATGAGTAATTTTACATCACACTACTGTTCACACTCTTTATGAAACTTCTTCGTTCAAATATATTTCTCTGTCAATGTTCCCATCTTCATTAAAAGGCGTAAGATGACAAAAGAAGATCTTGAAGAATTTCTCAATAATGTGCCTTGGTTATGGTAAGTAATTCGAAGAAAAATAAAGTGTTACTGTTTCCGGTATTATGATGAATTAGTTCATTATGTTGTTGTCTTTCCTCTTAAACCTTCTACAAATAATGAAAACTCTGACTTCACTTTTTTGAAAAATGAAATTATCTTTACTTTTACCCCCGATCAACAATCAAATATCTTTTCTTGAATTATAAATAACATGAATGGATTGAAATATTCAATTAAATTATCTCAAAATAAACCTTCATTTCTGTGCAAGATTGAAATTAGCTTGAATTCTTCATAACCTCTGAATAGTGGGTGACCTAATGGGTCACGGGTTGTCTAGTACCACCCTAATATCCCAGTTGAGAAAGTAAAAAGGCCATTTGGGAAAAAGCATTCTAAATGATTGGCTGGATAGAACTGGGGAGTCAAAAACTTTCCAATGTTTAGAATAACGAAAAGTAATTGATAAAGCTGCCTTATATAAAGCAGCAGTAGATGAAGCTAGACCAGAGTCAAAAATGAGATAAGGTGGGCACATTTTGGTGAAGTGGGGTCAAATTCTACATGAAACACTATTGGCTATAAATGTGCCATTTCTGTTGATAAATGTCCGTTGTGGGTCTACAGATAGATTGAGACACATACAATGCAACTTTAGAAGTTACACCTGATGCCATGTGAATGAGTTCATAAATTCCATAAATGAAGTTTAAACTTGAGAAAGTTTGAGTGTATAATGTTGGATCAAGGTCATCTCAACAGAGATAGCCAAAGAAGAAGAGGCAGAGAAGGACCATCTTCAAGATACTGTAGAAGAGTTGGCTAACCAACTGGGCTACCAACAGCTCTAAAGGAGAGGATCGAATCATAGCCAGAACTCTGGGTAACAGACAAATTGGGGGAAAGGCATAGAGGTGCAATCCCATCTAATCTTGAATGAATGCATCCATCAACAAAGCCCAAAAATGAGGTACTGGGGATCAAAAATACCTGTAGTTGAGAGTTTCAATGAGTGGCAAATTCGTGAATCATCAGAGTCCCAAACTGAGAACAAATTCACCAGAAAACCTCACAATGGAACATCCATTCAGCCGAAAGAATTCAACTGGGCCGAGTCATCACCCCTGGAACATAGCAAGCCAGGAGGATAATATGATGGAAGTGAGCCCAGTACAGAATATCCAAAGTTCAAAACAAAGGTTCCAAGAATGCATGCTCCCAGAACGGGAAATGTAAGAGACTACTGTAGAATTGACGGAATGAATCATGACGATTTTCCTCCTGTAACAGATCTAGACCTTGAACCATTGCCTGTTGGACAACAAAAAGTTCTAAATTATTGATGTGAAAGGGAGATTCATCTTCTACCAATAGACCCTGGTATTCCTGACCATCAATATATGCACCCTATCACTGAAATGAGGCATCTGTGAAGAAATGAAACTCTGAGAGAAGAGGCGGTATAG